ATCCAAGATGCCTTACCAGCGGCTTTCGAAACCCATCAAGCCACTCTCACTCCTGCTGAGCAGTCACGCCTCAATCACAGTCGTTGCACTGGCTCATGGCTTGCGTCATGCCCATATTTCCAAACGCACTCACCTCTCGCTCAAGAATGGCGTATGCTCTTTCTCCGGTTCGGTCTTAACCCCCCAGCTCTTCCAGCTCTTGTGATGGCTGTACTGTTCCCTTCAGCGTTCCACATCTCTGGATTGCAAACGTGGCGGCTTAATCATCCGTCGCCATAATGAAATCCGCAATGAACTTGGTTCTTTGCGTGTGAATGCTTTGGTTCCTCTAGCGTCCAGTCGGAACCGTCCCCTTCCATCTGTTCCCGCCCCTTCTATCCCTGCCGGTCACCCTATTTCCACTTACCTCCCCATTTCCCCCCCCCTCTCAATCCCCCTCAGCCCCCGAGCTCTTACGCGGTGATCTTTCCATTCGCGGCTTGTTCGAACTGGTACTACAGCTATTATTGAGTACGTGTCATGATTTGGACTGTGCCTCTTACCGAAACAAAATCCCGTCAAGTGTTAACCCAACAAGAACGCGAAAAATTTCCAAATATAAAGAGCGTGCGACTCCAATCGCGCTTCCTTCATCCCTTTGTTGTTTCTGTGGATGGCATGCTGCCCCCCAAGTCAAGATTCTCTTACAACGGCTTGCTTCTGCTACTGCCTCCAAACTCATTTTCCTACTCTCAAATGATGTTTTTCATGCAACCCGTATCTCAATTGCCCTTGTGAAAGCTACCCATTTATGTCTCGTGGATCTCGCAAAGCCAAACCTTGGCCCCCGTATGGTCCTCAATTTCTTGCCCCTGATCCCACAGAACCTAGTCCTGAATTTCGACTGTTCTTTGCTTAAGCCTGGCCCGGCTGGCTTCCGTAGATAATTTCCCTACTCTAATCCCCCCCCCTACTACTAAGTGCAAGCTACTTTAGTGTATTAAGTTCGCACACAGTTATAACTAAGTCCTTATCTGAGAGTCTGAGGAAGTTATGGGCACTGTCTCAGGTGCATGGATACTAGAGTATGAGTACATACCGGTAATGTTACCTACCTACAGAACGTTCTGCAGATACAGCCATCGAGGCAACTGCCTAACTGCCTCAATTAAACTTTGTCCATTCAAACGACTACTCCTAGTACTCACCAGTACTCTTTGATCTTTGATGAGTACCAGTACTCCAGGAGTAACGAGTAATGCCATCCCCCAGCGTGAATGATTGAATCGAATCGAATATCAATCCTTTTTTAGATCTGGCTTGGCTTCGATGAGTGTGGAGTGTGGCGCTGTGCTGGTTGGTGGCCAAAATGTGAGCGTCTACAATGAAATTGGACCAACTCTACTTTGACATAGTAACTTATGTCTTGCGACGTTTCAAGGATTTATTTTTGACTCTAGCTGTTCTGTAAGATCTCCTCACTTAGGAAATACTTTGTTCTTTGTCCCCACGAGTAGTACGCTACACTACCGGTACCGGTACGAGTATGCCCAGCCTTGGCACCTGCTCACTTTTTATGCTTGCTGCATGGCTGGATGGGTAGTCGCCATTCAAAAGTCTAGCTAGTTTATTGACAATTGACAGAAGCTCAGAAATAATCAGAAAGTATTCCGTTTCAACGTACACAGTGTACCAACCATACCGGTACCGGTAGGTCTGGGTAATAGTGCAGCCTCTGAAGTCCACTCTCTGGTTTGTGTCGTCGTGAATATGAACAAAGTCCACAGGTTTTATACAAGGCGATCATGAGATGTGACAAAGCAAGTTCTCACAGCTCCTCTCCCTCGACCTCGTTCTGAGTTTAATAGGGATGGAATAATTGGTTTGTGCGGCCAAGTAGGCTCCAAAAGCTTGTCCTTTAGGTTGCGGGTTCTTGTCAGCTATCTCTGCATCTTTGAGGAACCTCTGAATTCCACCAAAGTCCAAGCTTCGGGTCGGTCCACCTCCAGCAGGGCATCTGAAAGTAAGATATGAGGCCCGGCTGCTCTTTTGTTCCCATCTTGGGATGAGCCGCTTCTGTCCTGACTACGTGGTCAAGATGTACATGTAGTTCGTTGTGTTTCCAGTCTTGATGCAATCGAAAGATGAGATTTTGGGGCAACTGTTGATTGAATCGTCCGTGGGAGCAAAGATGAGCAATTCTAGATAAGACCGCTCCGAGCGTGGAGCATCGTGGTCAATGCTTGTTTCATCCACATGTTGCTGCTTTGTAGTTTCCGCAGTGCCATCAAGTTCTCGTTCAGCCTTGAGAGCAAGTTCCGACCGTAGGAGTGACATGGGACTGTAGGGACCACAGACGTAGATTTCATCGTGCCAATCATCGTTCATGGCAATTAGAGCAGGGACGTTTTCAGCTTGCCAGTAGCTCGTCCATCGTGATTTTGTATCACAAGGTAATCCAGTCGTCATCTCCTCCTCCTTTGGTCCTCGAGGCTTCTATAATGCAGCAGAATTATAGGATTCGCCAAAGGATAGCAGAGGGACAATGGATTCCGTGGATCCAATCGTAAACGTCTGGTTGGTAGACGTGGTACGACTGTACCACTTGTATCGAAAGTTGTTCCATTGCTCTCTTGTGAAAAAATGCTTGTACGGTACCGGTATCTCCAATCTTTCCTGGCCTTATTCGATATGTCCCATCCGGATAATGACGTCTTCCTCGGAGCAGTCACCCTCATTCCTAAGTTTCAGGCCATCATTTGAAAGACGCCCCAGCCTCGAAGAGAACAGGAGCAGCCCTTATCTGCCATATGAAAGCCAGGACTCGCGACGATGGGGCTACCCAGGCAGACCTTGGGGTTTCTTGGTTAATTTGCCCCCCTTTTTACGATTGCCTTGGCCATCAGCATGTTGGATCCCGTCGCATCAAACTCATCGCTCATCGGCACTTTCGCGTGAACAGTCTTAGATCAGACTCCTGCACCGTATGTCAACAAGAACACATCCAGCAAGTGAGCATGAGGCATTGAGACACTCATGCAGGTTGAAGGTTCATTCCCAATCACGGTGAAGTTCAGCACTAGATCCGAAGAATGAGAGCAGTCATCTGTCACACGGAGAGCAGCCTTCAACCTGGACAAAGCTTCTCCTTGTCCCCTACATATTGCTTGGATTGCAAGTGCAGCGCTCCCTTCCTCCTCGTCTATTCCTTTCGTGGTCTCAAGGTCCAACTTGGAGCCAACCAGTTTTACTCTTAAATTGTCTGCAAAGCCGTCCTCGTCTGTATTTTTCCATGTCTTTGTTCGCCATTTTCAGCTCAATTGGATGATTTAGTACTGAATCGCACCTCGTGAACCGCAAATATGATTGGTCAATATAACAATACCTCTCTGCCCCAGACATGTGTCTGAAAAGCATTGTGCATACAGCACCGACCGAGAACTTTTTGCATTGACCTTACTGAAACTCTCTAATTTGCGATAAACAAAGGACATGTCTCAATTGATCATAGCCTCGTGCATGTCCAGATGGCTCCGGATTCTGCTGTGATCCCTCCACTTTTAGCTTTGGTTGGTCTGCTCTTGATTTGAAGAAAGGTCGCACCCTCTCTGATTTAGGAGGCCAGTGTGACCGGTGAGCAGATGAAATACCCGGGCCTCGACTCGTGGCCTGGGTCGTCCTAAAGCACATCTTGTCTGAATCCATTTTAAAATAGACGTCCAGGTTTGTTTTTTGCCCTTGATTTGAAGTCTTCCTCATATTCCCTTGCGGATTCCGTCACAGCTAAAGCCATCTGCTGGGATTGATCAGTGGCATCTTGGATTTGTTTCTCGACGTAGGTGACCATGGTCTTCGTTTCTTCAGGGATGTCATCATCAAATGCTTGCATATTGGAGATCATCTCGAGCAAAGATTCTACTGTGGAACCAAAGTGTCCCACTTTCTGCAACACCTTTTCGGGCCTCATCGTTGGAAGTGCTGTATCGGATGGACCATCAAGCATACGGTACCGGTACTAGTATGTCATAATAACAAGCGTGTCGGAGTTGACTTGGATCCAGGTATGGATATATATACGGATATCAATTGGCAGGGCGTGGTGGAGCACCAGAATCATCAATCATCGAGACTTATCGTCTTAGACTGGCTACAGTGTACGAGGGCGGCCCCGGGTACCGGTACCTGACAGCATATGGTCGCACCACGTCCTAGATCACGGAGACGGATCTCCAATGCTGTTGCCTTGAGTTGCTAGTACCGGTACTGTGTCATTGTTCCCTCGTCTCGTCGAGTGACGAGTCGACTCAGTCGAGTCACCCTTTCGAGTTCTGCGTTATGTTCGGAACACACGAAATTGGCAAGATCGTGCAACTCATCGACTTGTGCACTGTCGCTGAATCTCTTTTGAAATTTCAAACTCATTGTAACTAGTCGATTGGGACGTTGTCTCCGTCAGTAACCCTCCCAGCAGCCTTTTAGTCAGTCTAAGTATCAAAGTCAACGGAAATGCCAAAGTCGTAACTACCAAGTTGTCAACGGAGATCAACTGATCAACGGAACTATCATAGCTAGACTACTAGCTAGTAGTGGGTTGGATGACCTGTTGCTGCTCTTTACATGTAGGATACCGGTACCGGTAATGACTACTGGTAAGGCCTGATGCCACTGGTGGGATGGAGGTGCAGCCATTGATTCGTTGAGCGGTTAGGTCCTGTGAGCAGCAAGCAACAGCAACAGCAACAGCAACAGCAGCACCAAGCCCAGCATTCAATCACTTACTTTGCGGTGTACGGGTACATTGCATTTCTGTATTCTACAGTGTAGTGTCTGTTCTACTCAGTGTAGTGAAGAATGAGCAACCTTGATCCAGGCGGCAGCCATGGAATGATGCGGCAACAGATGCTGCAGCGGGACTACAGTGAAATGACTGAAGAAATTGGAGACACATCGACGGGCGAAGACGAGGACGTGATCGTCATGGACGGCAATGATCCAATGACCCAATACTATTTGCAAATGACGGATGAAGTCGTCAGCGACCAACACCAAATTCAACAGCAACAGAAGAGAATTCTGCAAGGCGATCCGCCTTCACTCATGTCACCGGCCACGTTGGACTTGGCCATGCAGATCTTGAGCAGCAGAACCAGTGGAGAGCTCTACGAAGGAGATGACGAATTAGACGAAGACACCACGCTAGGTCAGTCACAAACAGGGCCAGACGACACTGAAGCTGAACAAGGATCAGAAATCCCGTCTGTTGACGTTTCTATGAGAGCGACAAGTACCTCGCGCTCCGCAGACGATGACGATGACGATGAAGATGACGTCTTGGTCAATGACAACGAAGAGTTAGATTTCGTTCACGTTCACTTGGAACATCTTCCCAGCAGAGACGACCGCGACGTACCAGTACATGTACAGATGCACGCAGATGCATTAGCGGAGCAACCGTATCCTGCTCAGCATACCGGTACCGGTACAGACCAGGCCAACACGAATGGGGGCAACCAAACAGAAACAGGACAACAAGCAGGGCCCTATCCTGCTCGATTCTCCTTCTACCGAAAACTTGCGGTCGAAGGATCCAAATCCGACAATGCCAAGACCGACGAAGTGATAGACGAGGTGATGCATGCCATTAGTTCGGGATCTGCAGGATTCGAAACATCCGAAAAAACTCATCAATCACATCAATCGTCCAGCGTCGGGGATTCTGAAGGGGCCCTCGTTGCAAGCGTCGCTTACCAACAAGCAAGCACTGGATATCAACGTCAGCAGGCTCTGCAGGGAAGCTTGGATTACAACGACGAGAAGGACAGTCAGGCACAAACAAGCATCGTCCAAAACTATCAGCATCAGCATCATCATCAGACTCCAGGCAAAACAGAGATGGGAGGGAATGTTTCCCAATACGAGCACCTTCATCAACAAATACAAGAGTTCAGGAAATCTAGGGACAACGTCCAACACCATGAGCACCAGAACGACTTTGATTTTGTGCACATGGAAGACGTTCCCGACCATCACGATCCACTTCATAGTCCCACGAACGAGGCCCAAGGAGGTCTTGATAATCAAAGGCTCAACGACAAGAAACGGAAACTAATTGGCCCACCCTGCATGTCAGAGAGCAAGAACGCACAAAACTTGACGGAAGATAATGCCAATGCTCGTCCAGCCACGACGAAAGGTGTTCATTTCAGCGCGTCTTCTGAGCTCAATCAAGACTATAGTCACACCGTTTCAGCTACCGGTACCGCTACCAGCGATGGTGACAATGACGACGCGGATGATGAAGAGCGCGGAAACCCAAAGTGGAAGCAGGGAAAGGAACAGCGCCAAGAACGACTGTTGAAGCGCCGAGAGAAGAGATTCCGCATGACACTCCTGCAGACAATGCAGCACAATACACGGGCCAACTTCTGTACCATCTTCTTGCTGGGTGTTGCTATGGCTACACTTGTGTTGTTGATTGTTGCCAAAGTGACGAGCAACAAACACGAGAACATGTTCTACGACGAAGAAAAGGACCAGAACTTTGTCGTGACCAACAATGAGCGTCTCATGACGATTGAAGTCTTGGCGTTTGCCCTTATCATGGTGCTGTTGTTTGGCTCTGTTTGCTATCTTGGGGCCGCAACGTTTGACACAAATAACTCACTGGTTGCCTCTGTCAAGCATGAAGATGCATGTCTGGCAAATTCCAGTGCTCGTCGGAAACATGCGACCTACAAGGCGCCCGTGGTTGTGCAAGACGGAAGCCCTGATCGAAGGCATCGTTTCCTCAAGTCAAGCCCATCCGATGACGAAACATTCCTGAGAAGCTGCGGTATGACTCCCGACCCTCAGACTGACACGGAGCAATCGTACACTGAAAATTCCTACAGCTTGCAGGATCAGACAACCTTTTCCATGATGAGTAGTGAGTCTCAAGCAGAGGGCGATGACGATGTGCTGATTTCCATGGAGGAAGCAGACCAGATCTATCGCGAACTGGAGGACAGAGCTGTGTGTTGTGCTCCCCTCTCCCTACATGCTAGCACGGAGGATTTGGAAACGCATACAGATGACGAGGAAGGAACAATGTCAGGAGACGATGGCATGAAGCATGAGAAGCAGCGAGCCGGAAAAGTAGAGGAAGAAAGTCAAGCCAAGAAAGCCCTTGGCGGGATTCTTTCGTGATGACGATGCTTTCCGAAGATAATTTAGCATTTATTATTCATATTTCGCTTATGCGTACAGTAGAATTCGCGGAACTCATAGGTTCGACATACACGTTGTGCTTTGTGCGAGTGGATGAATTGTTGCCGGGGGAGGATCTCGAGTGGCCAATCCTGTTAGTGCAAGAACCCATTGTTACTTGTTCCTCGTTGGAACGTTGGATGCCGACGGCAAGATTGAGTCGGATGGGTGCAGTGATAGTGCCTGTGATAGTATCATCTGGACCAGTCCAGTACTGTAAGTACTAGTACTACCAATTCAGCAGGCAGCAAAGCATCTGCCCCCCGACAAGAGCAAGAGCAAGAATGGCAATGTATCCTTTGTTTTTTGATGCTGCCGATGACGATTCGTCTGTTTTTCTGATTGTGGATTGGGTGTCCGTTTTCCGGAGCTGTCTGTTCCCTGGTAATGGCGGTGTCATGTCGTCGTGATTGTCGTATGCATGGCTTGTTTTGGCTTGCGTTTGCTGATCATCGTACAGGTGCCCCAGTTCAGAGGTTTCGTAGTTTGGATTAGTACTGTCGTTGTCGTTGGTATTGTCGGTGATGATGTCAGTCAAGTCATCTAACTGTCTGATAAGTTGTAGCCTTGAGTCGTTGAAGATTGGTTCTCCCATGCTCCTTGCCTGTTCAATGGCCTGATTGATGTTTTGTACCAATTTTGGTATTTGTGGAGGTTCGGGTCTTTCTGGCAAAAAGCCTGGTTGACAAGTGCAATCCGATTTGTCTTGGTTCTGCTTTTGGTTTTGTATGACTTGTAGGTTCCTGAAAGTGATGGATTGTACATGTAGTTCTTGTAGTTCTTGTAGGTGTAGTTGTACAGAACTATTAATACTACTGGTAGTATTGGTAGTATTGGTAGAGGTAAGATTTTGACTTGTGTGTGCTTGAAGCATTCTTCTGAATCTGAACCTAAATGCATCATCAAATAGGGAAAATGATCCAGTTCTTGTGACAGGGCAATCCCTGCAAGTTCCTGCAACACTGTAAGTGACATCAACTCCTTCTGTCGTGTCTGATGAGTTGACATTGCTTGATTGTCTGATCATGGTCATGGTAGATGATCTGGGGAGTGGTGGTGGTGGTGGTGGTAGATTGTCATTGTCATTGTTTTGGTTGGCATTGTTTTGGTCATTGTCATTGTTTTCAGGTCTTTGAGGTGGATCAGGTGGAATGGGTAGCTGATCTTCAATGAGATCCAACAACCCCATATCTTGAGCAGTGACAGTCTGGCCGAACGGTCTATTGGTCATTTGAAGAAAGTCCAATTGTTGAATTCTCCGAAAGTACGAATCGCAAGAGCGTTCCGTCAAGCCATTGTAGACTTTGACAAACAATTCCGAAAAAATCTTTCGCTCTAAATCCACCAAAAAGTCAGAATCTCCCAAAAAGACAAATTCCAATTCACCCAGAAACACGGACTGATTATCACTGCATTCCACAGGTGTACCTGTATTTCTACCATCTCCATCCAACAAGCCAGAACCAACAGTTACTGAAAGTGAAACCAAAGCAGACAAAACCCACAATTGGAAATTGACATTGCTCATTCTCATCTTCATCTTTATTCTATTAAAAATACTCTATTGAAATACAGTACATGTAATGGGGTGGGGTGCATCATCCAACAACTGTTAGGTTTGCAACTGCTGGCTGCTGGGTCCACTCGGTGACAGTGAAGCAATGAAGCAATAATGAGCAATGCAAACACGCAAACCCACCAAAGAATGAAGATGCTGATGAGACGGCATGTCCAGAATGGACAGGGGACAGCCATTCGATCGGTCATTCGTCATTCGTCATTGCCATTGATTGATGACTTTTGATGACCGAACACCAATGACAACAATACATGTATGTGTAATTCAGATCGGTGAAGCACATTGGCTTCTCGGCGAAGACCGCAATAAGATCCAGAAAAGAAAAAAAAAGATTCTTCTTGCTTCCCAATAAATGCGTCCGATACCTAACACCGCCTACTCGTGCAGTATTGAGTGCAGTCATGCAGCATGAGACAAGCTACACTACGACTCTAGCTAGCTACCGACCGGTAGCTAGCTACCCACAATGTAAAACTAAAAGGAGGCAAAACTTTGATCCAAACTTGAAGCCATGGAGTTGAGCAAGTTAGCTACCAGGTAGCCTAGATAGCTCAATCAAGTATTGTATGTATGTGTATGTAATAAGTCAATGGTTATATTATGGTCATGCATTGTATTATCATTGTACTATGCAAAAGGGAGAAGGAAGTTGATGCTGATGATGCTCAGTGCGTGCTGCTCAGGAAGATCTCCTGATGGAAGATAGGTACTCGCTAACTTCTGACATGTCTCGCCTGGAAGCAGCACACACTTCTAGGTGCTCGAGGACCTGTTGTGGTTCCAAGCCTGCAACGGAACCGGCAAACTCTCGTGTGGACATCCTCCTTAGCGTGTTTGTGTTTTGGCTGGAAGAAGAGGAGCAAGACATGGACAAGTCATTCTTCGCACTTCTTGCGCAGGAAACACATGAAGAACGCCTGCGGCGATGGTCGGCACAACCACCACTGCGAGCAGTACTAGTACTGGTAGCGCTGCCTCTCAGAGAGGAGTCAGACCCCCTGGTCAAACTTCCCATCATACCTGCCAAGCCCGAATTGTCTTCCAGCTCAACTCGGCTCGGACGACTCTTCTTCTTCATCTTTCCACTACCGGTACTCGTACCAGACTTCTTGCGACGGTCACGGCCTTGACCAATCGCAATCAGGTCCATGGCAGACTCAACAAAGCAAGCATCAATTTCTTTGGATTTCCTGCCCATGGTTGAGATGTTTAGTTGACTTCTTTGCAGTAGCAACGATAAAAAGTAGCTAGATTGCTATTAATAGCTAGCTAGATAGTAGAAGTAAGTGGCTTTTAAAAGTAGCAAACTTCGAAATTGTGAGAAGGAGTGTTGGAGGTTGGATTGGAGAAGAGAGCACATACAGGCAGAGCGACGCACAGGTTGTACCAGCACCTGGGACCTGGGACCTGGGACAGTGCCATAAAGCACCCAGATTTTGAAACACATACCGGTCTATTGTCATGTACACGTACCGGTACCGGTGATCCTCATTGTTTTATCGACCGAACCTGCAACCAACCTTACTCAAGAGTAACACCTATGGCCCCAGATCAGCTGTAAGTTCTGAGGTGCCTCGCTTCTGGTCCTAAAGCTTAGAGAGCACCTTGAATCGAATCACTGGCATCGACTACCGAGCTGGCAGCGACACGTTTAGCAATGAGAACTACGTAAGTACTACTAGCAGAGTTCGTACTCCGAGTGAGGTGGGGGAGAGTGAACTGCTTGAACCTGCTTTTCCTTGGTCGTAGAGAATTAATTGTGCCCGAGTCATTGTCCGTGGTGCATACGCTTTAATTCTACAGGCATTGGATTGTATCTCTCCACATAAAGTTTGTAACCCACATCTCCAAAAGGAATATTGAAGAAGCACAAACTGGAAAGATAAGGATTTAACAAGTGCTTACTGGCTGGATCCACATCTTGATCAACCGCTCAACCACCCCACAGACTAGTTTTATTTAATTAAATTTGAGGTTTCATCGACCAACTGGGATTGTAGATTGTAGCAATAATAATTTGTACCGCTACCGGTAGGGTGTCCTTGTACTGCAGTGAATAGAAAGTCATGCAACGATGATGCACTACATAGAGCTCTACATAGTACTCAAGTACTGTATTTTAATACCATATTATTACCTTTCGGCTTGGAGAGTGGGGGTGCGGGGGTGCACAAGTAAGTGCACATGAGAATGACATACACAGTCGCCGCCGTGTACATGCAGATGATCAGAAGAGCTATCAGACATCGGACGCCTTCGAGTCAAGCATTGGACCTACATGTTGTACTTCGAGTAGGCCCTACTAGCTAGCTAGCTAGTAGCTCTAGACTACAAACTACAATCATCGACTGGAAATAAAAAGATGCTTGTTCGAGGTACTGTTCGCGTGTTCGAGAACGCTTGAACTGGAAACCACAACCCGCCCGCCAACGATCCTTCGATTCTTCATGCAACATTGCGCATTCGCTCGAGTGTGCCGGTACTATTACATGTAGTGGGTGAAAGCGCTGCCTGGCATGCACCAGCCCTCCAAAGGTTGCCCGACTGCGAAGCATTCATTGAAGCAAGACCAAAGCTGGCTGACGGCAGAGTAACAGGCAGCCGAAGTAGCCAGATAGCCCTACCGGTAGCTGGCTGGGTACATGTGCCTGCATGAATCGAATCGAATCTCCCTTGAATCAACCATAGGCAACAGCCATCAGCCTTGCCAGCCCTACATGTACCAATACTGGCTTGATTTCGTCCGGTACCGTACTGTCGCTGAAAATGTGGCTGTAACTCGTCTGCTACCGTACGTACTGGTACCGCAATAACATGATTGCAATGAGCTCGGTCTCAGCACTAATCTTTTGCTCGCTACCATGGTACCGGTACCATAGGACTCGAGGTTCGTGTACCGGTCGGCGGCTTTCTGGGGTGATGGATTGCTCAGCCTACCAAATCGCTCGCTTGGGTTCTTTGGTGTGGCAGGCAGGTTATCGTGCTCGAGGTTTTGTCAGCCAATTCGACGTCAGTCCACACGTTCCGATGCCGCGGCCGCGACTTTGCCTTGTGACTTGTGAAGGTTCCCAACTCAATGGGCGCCCGTGTGAGAACTCCAGGCTTATAGGAGGAACGCCATTTGGATGGTGATGGCATCAAGGGCCTCGGTTTGGTCAGGTCCATTTCCGATTCCAGGAGTGTTGTGGGTGGGTGCAGGGAGCACGTTTCCACGATGTGACGTCCACGACACCACGATTTCCCACCACGCACTCATGCATGCGCTGACACGTCATTCCCAACCTCATTCATTCCCCACCCAAATGACATACGATACCATCATGGGCATCATCCATGTTTCGAAAGGGACAATGACGTCCACAGCAAGCAGCAAGCTAGCAAGCCCTGAACGCAACCACACACAAAACACCTGGTGTTGCTTTCCTACCGTACCGGTTCACGTCTGCTCGCAACACAAATACAGTATTCGATTTTACATGTATGTTGTGAACACCATGATGACTTCTTCTCCTTGGCTATTACATGTGATGGCCTCCTTGTTTCTGCTGAGCACTGCTACCGCCTTTACTGCTACTAGTACCGGTACTAGTAGCGGAACTGGGTCCCTATTCCGCAGTCCGACGCGCCTGATGAGCGCAGAGCCACTCGATGGCACTGTGGTCGTCTGCACGGGTCCCACTTGTTCTAAAAAGGGCAGCAAGAAGGCCTTGGCGTTCTTCCAAGAATTGGCGCCAGAATCTGTTACAGTGGAAACCATCTCTTGTGTCAGTGAATGCGCCGAGTGTGCCCTGGGCCCTAATGTAGAAATCCGAAAAACTGGAGACAGTGGTCCCTTCTACCCCATCAAAAATGGAATCAGAACAGAAGAACAGGTCAAACAAATTCTGGGAGTTGAAGCAGCCGTAGAGGACTTGGCTTAGGTTGGGTTAAGTGAGGCAGACAGACTCGGATATGTATGTACCGTACGGTACCGGTATAGCAAGGATATCAAGATGGAGGGTGCTTCGATCAGTCTGATTGATTGAGGAGACAGCACTGGTAACATGTATAAAAGATGAAAGTTGGTTCGTCCTTCCTATTTTTCTATTGAACTCAAGTTGTTGGACATACTCCCACCATACCGTACCGGTAGGGTGCAAGAAATGTTCAGGGGCTGCTAGGTAGTGCTGCAGCGTACCGGTACCTCGCCCAGCGAAAGACTTGGAAGGTGCGTTCGTCAAACGCACTCAGCACTCAAGCTTGCTAGAGGGTGGTCTGCTATTTGACGGATTCGAATCGATTGGCTGATCATTCCGGATCTACGGCGAGTGCTGACTGTATACATGTAGTTTGCGCAGAGCACCAAGCGCACAAGGCATCGATCGATCATCCCTGTGTCGTCGCGTTCATCATAAAGGGAATTGTTGGATCAAATCTTTGCAACCCGATTGGTGAAAAAGGTTGTCAAGAGCAGTCCAGCTAGACTAGTAGCTAGAGTTTGTTCAGGTAACCTTCAGTCGAAGCATCCAACCTATATCTCTGAACATTATTGCTTCCGCAGCTCCCTTGGGTTACCGGACCTGAGATGTTCTCCCTGGTACATTTCCCAAGACCATTGTCTTTCCAGGAGACGAGAGATCTAATTCACTACAGTGCTAGTAACAATTAGAAATGTCCCTTTTGCTATGTCCTCACATTGTCCTTTTGAGCACGAAACAAAAAGACACAAGCCTATGGTCACGCGAAGCACAAAAACATGCTCCCCAAAGACTGCTCTGGAGGACGGAGGACGGTACCGACCGTACCACTCACAAATTCACAAACCACAAACACAAGACTCTCTGCAATCCGGTATCCGGTTGCATCAGTGTTTGGTTAGTGCAAGTCGAGTCTCAGTCAGCAAGTTTATCTATTTCTATTGCTTTACTGAGTAGAAGCGTCAGGTAATCAAGATGACGACATTGTGCAACACGTTGGATCTTTCGTGGCTGAATGAGTCCATTGTCGAAGCTGCCCTGGACAACCAGCGTTTGAGTTTGAGTGATGCAGGCCATTTGGATGATTCTTTGCGTGCCGCAAAAGAGTATGGTTCGATGGATGCAGATGTGTCTGAACGTTTGCATCATAGGATTGAAGAGCGTAAGGAATGCCTTCTAGAAAAAATGGTCGTTCATGAGACTCGTCGAGTGACAAAACAACTTGGTTTGTATGGACTTCTCAAGTCCCACCAAAAGTGGGGTCAAGTCCTTTGTATGGCAGATATGCAAGGACAAGGATCTTGCTTCACCATGGTCGACTTTAAGGGACTTGCAACTGACCAAGTAGCACAAGCAATGAGTGTCTTTCATACCTATCTACAAGAAAATCCAGGCAAGCTGCCCTACACTCCACCCGGTGACGCCAAGAGCGTACATGTACCAGTAGAAGAGGGTGCCAGGCCTCTGGTGGAGACCAAAGTTGCCGAGAAGGTATGTCGAGCATACACAAGGCTTTACAAGAGTCTTGTGGACCCAGACTTGGGAGGATACAAGAAGGACTTTCTAGACCAAACTGTCCTGTACAACCCAGACCAACTCTTTGCCATGCTGGGTGTCAGTCGCAGAAGTTCTGCAGATTCCCACGAAGGGATTGGCTACGACTGTACTAGCTAGCCGCGGCAAGGTAGCAAGTAGGTATTGATAGACAGCTGTACCGGTACCAATCTAAGAGAATGGTGAGGCAAAGCGTGATACATGTACAATAATTCAATCAAGTGATGCTTGAAATGTGCGTGACCTACCGGCACATGTAACATGTAGCCATAAATGAAATAGGTGATGAATGTCATTGGTCTTTATTTCTGAGTCTTTCTATTGCTGTCGAAAGTTCGTACACAAATAAACAGTCAATCTCTGAACGACGACAATCGGCAACATTCAAATCATTGCACGCAAAACTTCACCAGGGATCCACGTCTTCAGAACGCAAAAGCAGCTATCAATAAGCCGAAAAGAAGCGAGCTCATCCAGGTTCGTTGCGCAACAGAACTCTCCATTTCCTGCTCTCCCATCCATTCTTCTACCTCAATGGAGCTTGGAGCAGGCACTTCCACCTGCATGGAGTTTGTAACTGGCACTTCGATTGTGGGGTCTTGCTCTCGAAAGAACGCGGTGATCTCGGTGTGTATGTCCAGCGGTTCAATGGAAAGATAAGGGCCAAAAACCGTCCTGTTCTCACTTCCGTTCAATGACACCACCTGCCAGTGATCAAAGTAGAGTCGATCGCCAAATCTTGTTTGAGTGGAAATGTTCAATTGTGAAGGAAGCTTCGGGTAGGCACGATAGAACGAACCCCTACCATCAGCCCGGCCATTAACATCTTGCTCGCTGAGGATGAAGTAAGGCAGGTCCGTATGGTTGGAATCAACGGTCTCGGCCCGCACAGAGACAATGTTGAGTGACTGAACCAAGGTCCGGTCGTAGCACATCTTGAGTTTCAATCGCTTGACCGTAGCTGCAGCCACAGCCGCAGTCCTTGTCATCCGAAAGCTGACGTCGCTCCAGGCCGCAGGTCGTGAAAAGAGCATGATGTTATCGGAGTTCACTTCAAGCAGAGACATCAAAAGTGAATCGCTGGCTGCGCTGCGTGTAACCTGGGTGATTGGACCATCTGGCAGATGATACTTCGAACCCCAAGACAGCGGTGAATGGTGAAATGCATACACCCCGCCTGCTTCGTCTCGAAATGTAGACGTTCCCGAGTGCTCGGCGGTAAATTCGATGTCACCTGATGCTGCATCAATTCCTTCAAACTCTGCGTCGTCTACTTCCAGGCAAGTAATGCGAATATTGGATTCATCCAAGCGAAAGAGGCCCCGCGACATGGGACTGAGAACCACACTTGAGCCTTCGTTGAGGGTGTTCAACTCTTGCGGAGAAAGCAAAAGGGACTTAGAAGTCGAGGTTTCGGAGTTTCCGTACAGCACCATTTCATCAAAGATTGATTCTGCAATGCGTCGCAAACTCTGCAAATAGATTGTCTTCAAGGTGACGAATTGGTCTGGTCCGATGTCCATTGGGGATGTTTGAGAAGCTTCGTGGAGAGTGATCAGCTCGTCGACGTCAACATAGGAATCCTCGTACTGGAATGGCTGCAACAAGCGGTACTCTGAAGCTTTCGCAAAGTAGTACTTGTATTTCAATAGTCGCTCCACTGCTGTCTTCTTCGCCCTGTTCAAGTAAGTGTCCAGCCGCCCGCTGTTGACAGTTTTGAGGTCGAGAAGCTCGCGGTTGGCTGTGTCAATGGTCACCAAATTCTGTTGCAGCGTCCTGGATGAATCAGATATTCCTTGCAGCGTAGAATCCAACATGGTGGCCAGTTTTCCTCTCCCGTCGACTAGCCCTCGGATGTCCTTTGCAAGTCCTTGAAACTCTTTCGACTCCGCCACTAATGCGTCCAGCGCACTTTCGACTTCGCTTCTGGGAACCTTGGAGCTCTTTAAAGTTGCCGCGATATCCCGGGTGACACTAGTCACAGCTCCCGCAAAAGCAGCTCGTGTGCTAAACGAGGTTCCATTGGAGTTGGAAGGCGCCTCGCCCGCTTCCGAGGCTTTGGCATCGGCGTACCCAGCATAGATGTCAATGGATTCCAAGGCGATACCGAGAGGATCCGGACTTGAATAGTCAATAGCAGCTAGTGTAGCCAAGGACCCGCCAACTGCACGCAGACCAGGTTGATACACGGGGATTGCCTTCAAAAGCGAACTGCCGATTTTCAAGCCCTTCTTCCACCAAGGCGTTTTGTTTCGCTCCGCTACCTCCTCCGTCGCCTGTTGGATCAGCTTTTCCTCAAGTTGTTGGAGATCCCACTGCAACTGGGCAGTCTTGGTCGACAAAGCCACCATTTCATACTTCAGAGCGGGGGCGGCGTCGATGTTTTTGTTGATGTCTTCTTCGATCAGATCATTTTCAGCCCGTAATCTCGTCACAAGTCCCGTCTGGGGAAGAACAGCAGGAATAAGCATCAGGATGGGCCAACAAAAAAGTCAATCAAGCTCTTTCCAGCACTTACCAAGGAAGTATTCCTTTCTTCAATGGAACTGGAAGCCTTTTGCAGCCAGTAAACAAAGTACATTGTTTCAATTGCCCCATCTACCTCTTGAGCGACAACCGTTCGGAGCACTTCGAATGACAGCATTGGAGCCCAACCGCCTTGATTGCCGTAATAGTCCAGGTTATTCTCGATCCTAGAAACGAGGGCTGACATGGATGACCGAGCCAGAAGCAGATCTGAGGTCCGTGTCTCGTCAATAATACAATCCGCGCAACTGTTTCGACTGACGACAACTTCCACAGAAGCATTGAAGAATTCATCAAGATCATCCAGGTACGGAGAAATGGATGACTGTGCAGCCTCAAAATCTCCCAGTCTGTAGTGCCTTTCCGCCCTCGTCAGCGCCTGGTCGAGGATGAAGGGGTGCATCCAGGTGAAAGATTCATTCTTGAGCCCACCAACGACCTTGGACCCAGCATCTCCTGGAATATCCCATCCATCTCTGTGGTTTGCGTTTGCTCCATCATAGGTTTCGACATACGATTTGTCTGCGAACGTTATGGCTTTCCGATTGTGGACTCTAGGGTCTTTATGGCCAACCAGGTCACACAGCGGTGGCTTGAAGCCAAGCCAATTGTTCTTGCACTCGTACCACTAGTCCTCCTCCACCATTACCGATCTCATGGGCTCGCCAGCCTTGCCCCCTCGGAAGTCATATTTTGTGTCGGCATCGGTAATGGATGCATCTTCTCCACTCAGCCCACCGCTGGTGTCGACAATCTCCTCAAAGTTCATTGGGACGCTTGAAAAGAAATTTCCTCCGTTGCCACCCTTACCAGGAACTCCTGCTGGAGTCGCATCGGTTCCGTTGGTTGGCCATTCTTGCTTCCCAGCAGTTGTGGGGTCTGGGTCGCCAAAACGCTCCTTATCGTGCTTGATTCTCTTGTAGAGGATCTCATGTCCATCGAACACCAGCCCGCCAAATTCACAGCTGCTGTCGCCCCTGCAATGTGTGTTGCTGATGCCATCATTCCCATGTTTTCCAGGACCCTGCTCTTGTCCACGCCCTCCGCTGGTAACAAAGATTGGTTGGGACAAATTCATCGGGAGAATGAGGGACTTGACATGCAACACAATATTCCCGCCATCGTGTCCGACTTGTCCATTCAAACCCTCTTGTTCTTCTCTGGGAAACGAAGCTGGCGTTGTGATGATTTGGGCATCAGGATGAGAGATGTTCAAAACTTTGGCGTAGATGGTCAGGTCGGTTTGCTTGAGGTGCACGGGCGAGGCAACGGTGACAGTCTCCGCAAACACCTCGAGCTCCTGGATATCCTCCTGGGCCCCTGAGAAGACCCAGTCAAGCTCTAGATCTTTCTCTGCGATAACTTGGCATTTTCGAATCGTCCTCATCTCTGCGTTGAACAACACGTCTGTCTCCGAATCTTGGCAGGTGTAACTAAACTCGCCTGGAGTTTCGTCGTCACTGGGTTTCAAAGCGGAGGAAATGATGGAGGTTTCAGGAGGAAGATCTGGAACCGGGGTAATGAGGAAGGTTGTGAAAGGAGCACCCGTGGTATCCTGCAAGGTGACGTTAAATGCAACCTTGTCTTCTCGGGCAGGAGTATACTGGACGAAGCCAAACGATGAATTCAAGGACTCATAGTCAAGATGAGCTTGCGAAAGCAGCTGAACGGAATCACTTGTAGTTCCAGTTTGGTTGGGGAAGGTGACGAAGAACTCGAGCGTTTTTCCGTGCCAGATCAACTGAGGAGGAATGGCATCAAAATCATAGGTTTCCGGGCCATCTTGGCGATAGTTCATGCCCAAGGCCGAGCGGTGACTGCTGTCCACGCAGACGCCTCCCACTGCAGATGCTGGGTCGATGCACACTCGTCCAGCAGCACAATCGGAAGGATCAGCGGAGGGGTCACACAGCCCAGCCGCTGCAACCGTGTCCACGACGTCGAGGAGAGACTCATCACCGAAATCACTCGCGTGACCCTCGTTCCGGAGTCTCGAACGGCCGATGCCAAGGCGAGGGTCAGGTTGGGCCTTCGCGGCGGCGGTATCGCAGAGACCCGCCATGGTCCAGAAAAGATGCGAAAACCGCATCGTCGCTTGAAATTGAAAGGGATTGATGCAAACCAATCTGTGTAGGTATGTGGGTAAGGTAGGTAGTTTTCGTTCAAGACTACACTGTATGCTGGACGAAATTTTGTGAGCTGCCAGATCTCAAGCAGATCTTTCTTTCGCATCCAAAACGATGATTGGATCCATATCCTAACTGCATGCTCGAGACGTAAAACTCACGAACCGCGCCTGCCTAGCCATTCGTGTTTTGCTACAGCTGGCTAGGCTAGCTAGAGAGCCAGTAGCTATCTAGCTAGATCTCCTTGCTCCATCTAGCTCCTTGCTCCATCTAGCTCCTTGCTAGAGCTATAGAGCTAGCTGGCCAAGCTCGAGGCAGGTACGGGGACAGCCCGCCCGTACCTGTTCCGAATGCCAACATCGAAGACAAGTGTTCGGCTGTATCGATGCCGATACTCCCACATTTGGAACTCTTTCAGACGTGGAGGGGTACTGTACACCCGCACCGGTAGGGACTGCTGGAATTGAACACTCACGCGAGTGATGACCGCTCTTTGAGACCTGTTTCAGGTTGCTTCTAATGCTGGAGTGCTGGCACCGGATCAGAGTGTTTCCTTTTCATCTCGATCCTTTTGGATTGCGTGGTTGATCGTTGATCGGCCTTGAACAGGTACTCGATCGGAGGGATCAGTGGTTTGCCGCAGCAAGGTTGCAGCAGAGTGCTAGTTGATTTTACTGGATGAATGTTGGTGTAACGGTAGGTCTAGCTAGCTAGCGAGCTGATGTACCTAACGGTAGGTTTTTGTCTAACAATTGTTTGGACTTTTTTGCCGATCACCACTGGGTGTGTATCGTCCCGAGTTTGGATTGTTGCGTTGCCATTTGCGTCGTCTATCCTCTGCCATTTCCTCTAGATCCTTTTCTTTTTGGAAGCGTGTATGCCGTCGTTCTTCGGCTCTGACCTTTACTTTTCCCTTGAAATGCGATGACTGTGATCTCCGAACAATGGATTGTCTTGTCCGTGTCTTGAGTGATGCTGCAATGGATTCTGTCATGGTTTGCACAATCTTCATAGCCGCCTTGCCTGGAATTCGATGTGCTTTCTTTGGGAATGCTAAATGTACGACAATTAGGACGGATGGACTTGCCCCTTTCTTGCCTTTTCGTTTTTCTGCGGTGACTCGAATCTGTCCTGCAAATGGAGCTCCTTTGAGAGCCGAGTATAAAATACTGGTTTGTCGTTCATTTTCATTTTTGTGTGTGACCAAGAGAGGTACAATCCCAAATCTGCCCCAATCACCAAGCTTCTTGACAACCAATACAGAGAATCGTTTGCGTCCACTGTCTCCTTTTTGTAGTGTGTATAGTCGAAGTTGATTGGCAGGAGCAAACTCTGTGAATTGCTGTGCGTTGATGATATCGACGGCATGGTTGTAGCACAAGTCGTGGCAGAACTCGAGTGCTTCATCATTATCGTTGTCATCTTCTTCTTGGTCATCTTGGTCTTCAATAAAGTCTTGAATGGGAATATTGATTTGAAAAGTGGCTGCCTGGGCCAGATCTGAATCTTTTGGCATTTTTTTGCGCCATGCTTGAGCCTCATTATTGTCATTGTCTATTGATAGATTTAGATCCTTCCAAGTAGAATCTTGAATTTTTTGACTTTTAGGTTCGTGCTGCTGCCATTTTGGCTTTGATAGCTGTTTTTCTAGAAATTTGTTGGGTGGCTGAAAGAGCGTGGTAGGTCCCCGTGACAGGATGCCTCGTTGACTGGAGATGATGAGACCTGTCCGAGGGGCCGATATTGCCAGCATGGTCATGAGCAGCAGTGTTGTGGTAATGAGGGCAAAAGCCCTTGGATTTTGGGTAGCTGACTTGGCAATAACGGCAAATAAGGCAGTCAGCACTTTTTTCAGAAATCCTCCAATGGTTGCAGCACTGGTAGCAGTAGCAGTATTTACCCCACCTCCCTGCTCCAGATCACTCCTATTTCTCTGCAGCATGGCCATTAAGTCTTGGGGTGACATTCCATTGGCATCAGCTGCTTGCTTCAAGGTTGCTTCGGGGTTGGGGGAAGTTCGAATCACTTCTTCCAATTGCAGCAATTGTTGGCGTTGCTTGGAACTTAATGGCAAAGGACCACTTCCCCCTTCTTCCTCATTGTCCGCTTCATTGGCGGTCCATTTCACTTCTGTGCCGCTGACAACACTTGCTAGTAGCAGAACACAAAGAGTTGTCAAGAGAAGGACTAGCAAACGACGATAGCGATGGCTCATCATCTTGGTTGTCACTATTATCGTACCAGTCGTGGATTTTGTGGGGATCTCTGATTTGTGAGTTTGATTTGAGGTGGATAAAACGAGTGGTTGTCAACTTGTCATTTTTTACGTCATTGTCATTCCACGTGGAATGTCAAAGATTCAAGCCAGTGGGTCTGGCTATTTATTTAGAAAGGCCGTCAGGTCCAGAAGGTCTGAGGGCACCAGTACCTGTGTCATCTTGACCATTTATGGCCAAGTTTCCTCAACGAAGAGTTCAGGCTCCGAAACCAGGCAAAACCAGGCTTATTTAAAATAGCTTATTGAATGAGTTGCTATGCAGTGTTTCATGACATAAGCACAAGATGACATACATGTCCAATCCTTCTTTGGGTTAAATCATACTTACAAAGATACCAACAAAAATGGCCTTGAAGAAGGTTCAGGACCCCTTAGGAGAGGCTCTGAAAACTGCTCAGATCCTTTGTATGCAATGGCCAATAATTGTTGGAGATGCGCAACAGCGATGTTCTACAAGACTGCATACCGGTACCTGCAAAGTATTCTTTGGACTTTGGACGTCGCTTTTGGATCCTTTTGTGCATCGCTGCTCACAAATTGAAATCCAGCAACGAAAGCAACCACCAAAGCAACCGTAGCAACCATGAAGTCTGTTCATTTTTCAGAGGAACTATTCACCGTGATTGACGATGAAGCTACAGCACCCAGTGCTACCGTTATTGGCAAGTCTGTGTCTTCCATGTTCTTCCATTTGAAGACCAAGTTGGGCAAACCCAGCGTAAGTGCGCTTTGGTACTCGGAGGAGGAGATGGACAAGCAATTCCAGCTAGATCTGGCTCTAGCTGAAGCATGCAATGACGCAGACAATGACGACGATGAAGAGCTAGATACCAGCGCATATGGCCAGTGCTGCCAACGAGGCCTCGAGTACGTTTTGGATCCTGATCGAAAGATGTATAACAAAATGTACGTTCGGGCTGTCAAGGAACAAGCACACTGTTTGCAAGCGCATAAGCAAGGGCAAGGGCAAGATCAACATCAAGATCAACATCAAGATATCTCTGAAGAACTCGCTCGGTTTGCCCAAGAGATCTCCAAGAACAACCGAGCTAGAGCTGCCAAGACTGCAAAGAAGGACGCCAAGGACGCAATGGTCATTCACAGGCGTGGAAATCCTCTCGCCAAGGGCATGATCACTGTCATCTGTCGCAGGACCAGCTATGCCGAACAACAAGGACAACAGACACAGAAGAAATCAGTGGTCGCACAGTCCGCATAGACACATTCATGATCTACATACAAAAAAGAATGATGTTTGAGCTTATGGTTGACTAATGTAAAAGTAAAACTACATAATATATTCTAATGAGAGACTTGATTTCCTTGGAAGGCATCAGTCATACATCTGAAGTAGCTACCGGTATGTGATCGGCTTGCAATTGATCGATTGTCGTTCTTTACAGGGCCATTCAAGATCTCATTGTCTTTGCTTGTCTTCAAACAATTTTGACAACCTTCCACCGACTTCGGTTTTACGTAAGCGATCACATGAAAACCTAAAATCCGGTGGTTGGGGATATCGTATCTCGTGCCAGCACAAAAACAAGACGACGGAATTGCAGAGCAGCAAACGGGGCACCCCTTGTCCTCTTACAGCTAGCCGTACCTCTCAGTTGAGCATTATCAAATAAAAATCTACTAGTATCATGTCCGAAACTCTGTTCGAATTTGAGGACAGCACCAAAGCAAGAATCGTTCAGGTTTACTACTGCACCGCATTCATCATCCTGCCTCATATTGTGGACCACCATCCTTTGTCTGTGGAAGCATTCAGCTTGGAGCCGTTTATTTTGGGAACTGTATTCAAGACGGCCAAAAACTACAAGCCGGTCTCCCTGTGTTTCATTTACGTTTGCATTTTGGGTTCCATTTTTATGGCCCTCCTGCACTGTTACCAACACAATAGCGGCGTTTCTTGGGATACTGTCTCCTTTCTTATACCTTCCTCGTCGATATTGTTCATCAGGCTTGGTTGAAAACTCAAACGGAAATGAAGATCAACGTGTATGGCCTTTCGCTTTCCTTCTCGGCTCCAAATATGTTCTGCCAAGATACAGACATCATCGCCATTTTGGGACTACTCAGCCTACTCAGCCTCATTTTCGCTACTTGGGCTATCCATGTGTACCTGGTACGTGCTGGAGGGAGGGGGCGTGACACCGCCAGGACGACGCTGTTCAAAGAATTCTAACACGGGTCCACATCTTTCTTTGCTCTCTCGCGCTCGGTGGGTATTGGATCTGATCTCCATTCATATCGGTATGGAACAGCCTAAGCCTGTAACAAAGGTGATCCTACACTGTGTACTAGTACTGATCACCGGCGTCTCTGGAATGAAAACTCATCACCTTCACCGCACTGTCCATAAAGACTCTGTAGATACAGTTCCTTCGGGCAAGTGGAAGAAATCCTTCAAAAAACAGCTATTGGTGGAGATGGTACTCTCTTTCCTCCTGGCTTTCGCTCACACGTATTCCCGCCTGATCCCAGTGTGGCATGATCTATTCTCGCTTGCTCAAGATTTCATCCGGCTGTCGCTCGACACCGGCAACATGAGCATGTGCATTGCAACAAACCTTGCACACCTTGGACTATAAGGAGGGTTCCCGGCCAACGAATACTTCTGTCATCGTTTTCACCATGGCAAGCTTGGCCATTGTCCTATCCATCATGCTGCAGTTCGAGATCAACAGATACACGATCCGTCAAGCAACTGCAGCCCCCCACCAGACCCACCAGACCACCGACACCGATCAAGACAGTCTCAGCGCCCACACGGGAAATGGGGCCGTTTTTTCCCGCACATTGCTTGCAATGCTTTTGGGTCTTGGGTTCCCTGCTTTGGCTGCATTGGTATTCTACGCAATGATGCCGTACGGATTGGGGCTAGAATATCAAACGTTGAGCATCAACCTGGCACGCTTACTTGGCAGCATGTGGGTGCTGCACACCAACACGTATGCTCTCGCGGCCACCATCTTTCTCACCACAAGTCTACGACGTCTGGCGTGGTTCTTGGATTTGTACTTTTTTAAATGTTCCTCGACAAAGATCCACCCCAAGGAATGGTTGGCTCGGATGTAGATGTACAAGAGCTGCGGGGTTGCTTCAATTACCGGTACCCCTTTTCTTTCAATACTTTGAAGGATGCGAAGAAGCTTGTGCCTGTTGCTGGCGAGTACGTTGTCATGATTCGTGACAGCATTGGCACGTGGAAGCTCCGAACAGTTGCCGACGTGGGATGGGACTACGTCTTCTCGAGCACTGGCCACGTGCGGCTATTACGACAAGAATACCGTTGTGGCAATATCGTACAATCGCCTTACCTTCATTTTATGCGCCGTGCCATCATTGAACGTTTTTCATCAGAGGAAGAGCTCAAGGTTGCCAAGCGCATTGTAATGTTTGATCCGCAAATCCTGCGCGTTCCCGACAACTCGGGCCGGTTATTACTCCATCGTGCATGTGCCAACACCGAGACACCACTACGAGTCGAGTCATCCAATTCCTGGTTGAGTTGTATCCACAGGCTTTGCAAGTGCAAGACACCCAGGGGCTGCTGCCATTCCAGGTGGCGTTGCTTAAGAGCTGCACTCCTTGGTTCTCTCTGACTTTCTTGGATGAACTTCGATATACTTGGCACGGCAACACCCCGAAGTCCTTCAAGTGACAAATGACATTAATGGGTTTTTGCCACTCCATCGAATCTGCCGAGATGAAATGACACCATTCGCCGTCATTCAATGCCTAGTTGAGTTGAATCCTCGGGCTCTTGAGACACCTAGCAATGAAGGACGGTTGCCACTCCACGAAGCTTGCAGACTTCCGCAGACGCCCCTTGCAACCATCCAATACTTGGCCCAACAGAGCCCTCAGGCTCTTCAGACACCTAATAATTTTGGGTCTTTGCCACTCCACGAAGCTTGCAGAAATTCACAGACCCACCTTGCCACCATCCATTACTTGGCTCAACAGAGTCCTCAGGCTCTTCGCGTGTCAAACAATCGGGGTCTGCTACCGCTTGTCGCAGCAAACATCGACGGAATGCATTCCATGCGGGTTCTTGTTTCTCTTGTACGAGTTGATCCAGGAGTCATGCAGACGCTGCGTACTGAGCTTTCTGGCGTAAACTGGAATCAGGGGCGTCTTCGTGACACTCTTGACAAGTTGGCTGTTGCCGCGAACTTGGCTGTCCAGGAGCAGGAGTTGACCATCGAGCTGCGCCCGGACTGGATGAACGAAACACGCGACAACCTAGAGACGATTGAAGATCATGATGGCCAACTCCATCCATGTATCCGTGTTCTGGTTCAATGGCTCCGCAGCAACATAATTGATCGGAACAACTACTGGCAAGACCAGCTTGATCCTATTGCTGCCAGACCGGATGCTTTGGCCGGCGATGACACGGCAACAACAACTGAGTGAATCAAATCAGTACCGATGCTTGCAGGTGATGAAGCTCTGCTCGGGGGAAGAGAATCAAGAAAATGACAACTATGGATGAATCAAGAATGGACGTAGAGAACTGTGCATGTTACTGAGAAACCACAATACACACACGAACTAGTGCAACTTACTGACGAGTCTTTTCTCGTCCTGTACATGCATATCGGCAAACGCTAGGACTCGACTCAACCTAGAACGACTGGCTGTTTCTGCCAATGGCTGGCCCTAACTAGACATCATTTGATGGAAGCATGCAGAGACGATCTGACGATAGCTCATAGCTCGTCCTTGGAAATGCCGGTACCGGTACCGTACTGTATCATGATGCAGATCCCCATGGTTTCAATGGAGGTGCAGCGGTGGTTCTATCGTTTCAGTGGCATACCGTACCGGTAGGCAGTGAGTCAGTCGCACCAATGCCACAAGTACCAGTACCAGTACCAGTCTCGGTACCGGTACTGGCAGGCAACTTCACAAGAGTGGTTTAATGGAAGCAACGCTACCGAACCCAGCGGTGCGTCTAGCACCACGTAGAACGTCTGTAGCTCGTAGTCTCCTTGCATGCATTCATTCCTCCTTGCCAGAATGCTTTGCTAAGATGAATGTTTTCAAGGAAGCTCAGGCGATGCAGCCCCATGCATGCATTCGGCCAAATCTATGACAGTTGAGGTTCTCCATACCGGTACGTTATCCGAGCCCAGTTCGAGAGGAACAGGTTGAACATGGTGATATCCTTGTGTTCAGCAGCTCTACTGCATTTGAATGTACCGCTTGTGGCATAGGAAACATCCCTCTAAATCTGCAAACCAGCATTCAACGCTAAAGGCCTCCAGGCCTCCAGTATGCTCAGTGGTACTACCGAGAGGCCCCACCTAGGTTCGGGTGATCTCTAAGGTCTGTCCGTCCCTACACCCTGTTTGGTACCTTTTTCGTGTAATCTTAAATCTAAAGTGCAGTTTAAGGTGTGGGATTTGATGGTTTCACAACAATTTAAATTGTGCACTCTCACAATGGCGCTCTCTTTTTCGGGCTGTAATGCATTCTTTTGAGGCCATGATGCTTATACTACCTCATTCCTGCTTGTTGTGGGTATTATCTGAGGGGGATAGATGCAAGAGGGCATCACGGCCGGGTTATCGATGTTGTTGTTTCATATCAATTTGGTTTTCCGACTCATGGGAGCCAAATTTCGATTATTTGGATGTCCCATGAAGTTGCCGCGGCTTTTGAGTGAACGATGAGCACGAAATGCTATGACAATGGAGGGTCTTTCATTTTGGATTGTTGTCACCATGGCAAAGCGCCGAACGAAGAAGAATGATGCAGCCGAAACTCCTGGCAAATTGACAGACAGAACCAATTGCCCATCTTTCTCCCCAGCATATGCCTCTCCGCCACCAAAACGAGGGCTTCTATCTTTAACAACCCCAAACTTCAACAGAAATGGAGGCCTCTTCAGATCCCCTTTCAAAGAGTCTCCAGTATCCAGGACGAAATCTGTCGCCACCCAAACTGATCCCATTCCATGCCTTGGATTTGCCGAAGAAATCATTGCCCGGAATCCTAGCCAACAGCTTCAACAGCAAGTTTTCAATACATTATCTGCGCTACATCTGCAGCAAAATGACAAGAATTATGTCCGTCTATCGCTTCGACATGGCCAACAAACGTATCTCAAGATTCCAAACTCTCGCACTTGCAACACGAAGAATGCCAATGCACAGATCACGAAGAGAATCAACAAGAACTCCACTCTCATTTTTGGACTACTTCAACGCCTCTTTGGTGGCAATTTGCAACAGGTCTTACCAGCATTCTTGACCAGAATTGGCAAACAATTTCAATTGGCTGTCCTCCCAATTCATGAGTGCGGATTGACAATTGTACAAGCAGCTGCTGTCCGTGATCTTGTTCCAACGTCGACAAGGGGACTAGAGAGGCTGGCAAATGCCCTTCATGACTCTGCTCCCTTTCTTGGTAATTTGCTATTTCCAAAACAACTGCGACGTCGAATTTCCGAGTTTGAGAAGTGCTCACTTGATGTGGAATTGAGTTTTGAGGTGGTGTCTTTGGAGATGAATGGAGAGGGCAAGATGAAGCCATGCGTTCATGCTTGGGTATCTAATCCTCCTATTATCATTGAGGGCCTGACACGAAGTGCTCTCATTGCAGGAAAGTTTCAAGAGTCAGAGTCTCTGTCGTCCCACAAGGGAGAAATTCTTGTTGTCCAAGGATGCGATAAAGGAGGCAATTTGACTCTTAGCTTGACTCGCATTGCTAATCGATTGGATGGGAATGCCCCACAGTTTTGCTTTCCATTGGCATTCTATGAAGATGGACGAGAATCTTATTGGAATTTGGCACGGACAATTTATGACAACTCCCAGCCATCCAAAAAGCCTGTTCAACCTTTTCTTCAGAGTCTGCTCAATGGAAAGCACCACATGATTGTTGCATCGGCCAGTCGCAACAACGAGGACATTATTGATGCCCAGTGCTTGGCTGTCGAATGCACTGGTTACAACATCTACGAAAAGAGCAAATTTTGCATTTGTGATATTTGCGACCGACTGCTCCCCGATGCCGACCACAGAGAGCTTCTTGTGTCAGTCGATCAAGCGAAGGCTCAAAAGCAACCAACAATTATTCCACTGGATAGACTTCACAGCACAGCTCTGGAAATTCGCCTTGTGCTTTCAAACCCTGCCGACAAGAGAGAAGAATCGTCCGACGGAATTCAATATTCTGGAATGCTTGTCTACCAATCCTCGTCTGCAGCAAGAAAGCTGGTCGCTCGTCTTTCTTTTACAGCTCCACTGCTTGTCCCACCCACTGCTGATGTGGCTCTTCGATGCTATGCTTGCCGGCCGTTCACGGCAGATGACTTGAAACTAAATATTGCTGTGTCAGGCCAAGGAACGGCTTCGAGCAAGTATCCATGCCCAATCTGCATTGCTTCAAAAGACGAGCTTAATCTTTGCGTGCACGGCCTCACCCCCTCTCCTACTCGCACTGGAGAAAACAGCAACAACAGACTGTATGAAATATTTCAGAGTATTGCAGGTGGAAGGGCCCTCAAAGTTGCGAATGACTCGTCAGCAGCATCCATGGCCATCAAGCTCAAAGCGAAAAGCGTTGTTAACCGGCCATTGTTGCTCACACCACCATCGCAAAATACAGCGGGCTCCATGCATGTGTGCCAAGGGATCATGACTCATCTCACTCGACGTACATTCAGTCTTTTGCGAGAGATTGATCGCAAATCAACATGGTTCGCTGGATTAAAAGACGCCGTAAAGGATTCAGATAACACACAAGAAATCAAGGATTTGCTCGCAGAATTGCATCGACAGGATCGTTCCCTCTTCAAACAACTCCAGGCAGCAACTAAATGGCCAGAGATTCCATCTCAAGTTGAGCGTGCTGCGAACTTGTTAGCGGAAAGAGAGCAGCTTACTGTTCAGTCTGGAATGGAAGCATGGGCTTTGGTTCAAAAAGCAGCAACAGAACTTTCTGCTGCCGGAAGCAAGTTTCTCAAGGACTCTGGATCGAAACCAGAGGGAATCGCAAGTTACCTGCTCTATCAGTCTTTCTGCATTGATGGGGGAATCAGGTTCAACGTTGAACACTCTGGATTGGAGCTAACAAACAAAAATGGAATCAAAGTCCTCGCAAAGTATGAGCAAATTGCCAACAGAGTTGATTGCGCCTATGAGCAAGGCAATGATACCCATCTTCAAGCCGAGGTGAAAGCGGTCATGTCAACTTGGCGTAATCTTGCACAGTTGCTGCTTGAGCTTGGAACAATCCTAAAGCGACAATCAAAGTTATCTGCCGAGGAAATCAAGCGTCTCAAGGAGTGCTCCTTAGAATACGGTCGACAATGGACTACCATGATTCAAGATAATGACTCCGTCTTCAACAAACTGCACACTCTAATCGCACATTTGACGTCCTTTGCAGAGGAGCACAATACAATTGGATTGGTCAACGAGGAAAGCTTTGAAGCCACTCATCCAAGAGCCCAAACAATAAGCACGCACGTCAGAAGTATGGTTACAACAGGAGGAAAAGTGCAAAAGACGGTACAGCGTTTCTCGTTGGGCCTAAACAGTGAGTACCAATCAACTCGAACGTCCTTGCAAGACAATCGGAAGTGTGGGCCACGCAAGCTGAAAGAAGGCGACAAATACAAGTCAAGTCAACAGACTCGACAGCACGACGTTGCCCCAATCACCAATCCACGCCAGGGCAGCAAGCTCCCAGAAGGCCTCGTGTTTGTGGACACAAATGAATCTGTTGTCAAGGAGGCTTGGATCGACTATTACAATTATTTGGTTTGTGGCCGAGTTCCTGCCAATTGGAAGAAGCCCTTTGGGGACGATGACGAGATTGGTAATGTCTTCAAAGTAAAGTCCGAGTACGTTTGATGCAACGACCAATGCCATGGATTGTTGCAAGCATTGGTTGTTGGTCGGCAAGCAAGTTGAATCTCATCCAATTTCTATTTCAAGAAATGGAAGATGTATGGTTGTTGTGTCATAGTATTCCAAATAAGCTCTATAAGCATCTATTTTGCACGGGAGACTACATCATTGCAAATCTACTCTCACCATAGTCTGGATCTAAAACTAGCGTGCTTTTTGCTCTTTGGTCAAGGTATCAATATTCCTTCAAATCCAAATAATCGCATCATGTAATCTGCATTGGATATCTTTAAAGCGGCTTTTAGTATAATTCTAGCTACACATCCAAATATAAAACCACTGACAGTCATCAAGTTTTGCAGCTCACTCCATTGATTCTAAAGTAAACTCTGAGCCTGCTGCGCTGCAAGGGGATAATAGATCAATAACAGAGGGGCCGTCTTCAGCTGCTTGCACTTGTTCATCCGCTTGCTCATTCTGACAGAAGGATGGAAGGGATGCCATCTCCATGAGAACATCATGCATTCCTGCTCTTTCAGGAGGAGGCTCAATGTAGAATCTAGAGTGTTTGCAGGCAAGCATCACCGTGAGCTCTTCACCATGGCTCGTCTTGATAATGAGGGTCCGACGGTCCATGGAAACGTAACTCATTTCAACATCCTTTGCATTACAAAGAAAGGTGTGCAATTTGGATGCTTGTTCTGGAGCCAAGAACGTGCTATTTTCAAAGTACCAAACAAGAATCTCATCGCTCTCCTTGCGAATTGAGTGGGCAATGCATTTCGACATCCTCAGAAGCAAAGACTGAAAGCAAGAATCTTTGAGTGGGTCAATGTTTGCTCGAGGAGGTCTCCGACAGGAAGCAGAGTAGATCCCCCCTCCTTTCGTCTTGAATTCGTAGGGCATGATGAATGCTAGGATTGTGGTGGCAACAAGCAAACTCAGCTGCATAGCCAAACACTCCGTCTTCACAGCCAAAATCCCAGAAAAACCAGAGAGAAAATTTGGTCCATTTCGAATCGGTCGTGCCATTGTATTCTTGACAAATTTGAGCCTGCCGGTAGGACAACTATGACCTCTTATCATTATACTCTTGTTAAGACGAAGAAATAGCACAGGGGATTTTGCTGTTGATCCTGTTGAGCTGGCTTAGGGAAGTCAGACGCTCATAAAGGAGACAAAATCAATATGGCAACATGAACAGGGAAACTTACTTACAGGAAAAGAAGAAAAAATGATATAGCCTCCGGCGTAGCCCGAAGGCGGCATCAAACACAGCTGTCGTTTTGGTTGGTGGTGGGTAGCAGTAGTGGTAGTCGGTCGGTAGTGGTATCGGGTCAAGGAGTTGACAATGGGAGAACAAAAACGCACTGTATTGTACTTCACCATAATGCTAGCTGTTGTTGCCAAGAGCCTTGCCCCTACCGAAGTAGGCACTGACTTCAAGGCAAAATAGCGCAGCAATCAAGGGAGTAGTAGTAGTTGTTGTTGTTTCTTCGTAACTTGCTGTTGGTAGTATCATCATAGCATTTTTTGTTTCTCGCAGTTGGGTGTTGAATGAATGAATTACTGACAACATCATCATTGTGATGTTGTCAGAGCCAATCAAGAGATCGGATACTAATGCCTAGGCTGCTGCTGCAACCCATGCCTCCAATTCTGTCCTCTTGGCTTCTTGCCTCTCTCAAGACGATTGTGGGAGCAAAGTCTTGTTGTTGTTGTTGTTGTTGGCTTGTTGATGATGGCACTGCTGACGACAACGGCCGGCCGGCCATCGCTGCTTGCGAGCTGAGTGGTTGTGGACTGTCGGCAGCAGATGAGTGGTTGCGACGATGGCGCTGTGGAGTGGTTGACGACGACGACGGCCGTACGTTTGTGAGCGAACGTCGACGATGGTTGTCGACGACAAGGGCCGGCCGGCCGTCGACAGCAGCGCTGCTCGCGAGATGAGTGGTTGTGGACTGCCGGCCGTCAAGATGAGTGGTTGTTGGCTGCCGACAATGGCGCTGTGGAGTGGTTGACGACGACAACGGCCGTTCATCCACAACAAGTCCATCAAACAACAACAACAACAACAACAACA